GACTATACTCCAGGATGTTGAATTAGCTTTCTAGGCCCCCAGATATTCAAATTTTATAGAGGAAAATAAAATTCTCAACATTAGGAACCAAAGAAAAGGTAAAGGCCCTCCCGTTGATCGTCGATTTGCTCGAGAGGGCCCAGTAACGTCTCCATTGGAGACTTTGTTGTTACTGTGTCTGGCATATCGAATACTCTTGGTAGCTTGCCGGGCTCTCCGAGAGGGGCGGAGGAATCGAACTCGGGTCGGCCATGTTGGCTGTGTGCAAGGCAAACGCCCTACCGCTGTGCTATCGCTCCAGCCCTATTTATTTATTTGCTAAGACAATTATTTATTTGTCTTATTTATTTATTTATTTGCTAAAACAGGGATTTATTTGACATTTATTTGACATTTATTTGTCTTATTTACTTACTTTTACTTTACTATTTATTTATTTATTTATTTGCTAAGACAGGGATTGCAAGCACTGGCTATTCTTAGATAGAAGGAATAACATATACCTATTTATTATGGGACATTTATTTAGTATCATTTTACTGACCATAAAACAGTTACCATCTCTTGATCCTTTACAGATGTTTTAAGTATTTGTCTAGTATTGTATACAGATGAGAAACCCCAGGGGTTGCCCTTTCCATACAGAAGTTAACTGCAGGCAAATTCAGACAGACCCCTTCCCCTTGGTAACTGCTGTCTCCCCAGGAGGGGTTTTTATTTTGTACCAACAACTCCCAAACTGTACACAATGCATCTGGGGTGCTGAAGGGCAACTTAGGACCAGAGCAGTAGTACAGTTGATAAGGTGCTTGCCTTGCATGTGGCCAACCTAGGTTTGATTCCTGGCATCCCATACAGTCCCCTGAGACCGCTAGGAGTGATCCCTGAGTACAGAGCTAGGAATAAGCCCTGAACACACCAGTTGGGGCCAAAAACATCAAACATAAATAATAAAATAACCAGGAAAAAGAAGAATTTGGTTTAAACCCATTTCTAAAGGTCACTCTCAGTCTATTTAACCCTTCCAATCCCATGCAACGTACCTTGCAAATTTATTTTTTAAGTTTCTAAAACACATGCACATGGACCAAAGTTAAGGTTAATGCTTACTTACTTAATGCTTGCTTTGCATGCAACCAACCTGGGTTCAAACCCCAGCACTCCGTATGGTCTTCCCAAGACTGCCAGGAGTAAGCCCTGAACACAGCCAGGTGTAACCCCCGCCCCCCACAAAAAAAGGCATAAAAAAAAATAGTAAAACACATGCACGCAAATTACTGTTTATCCAAAGCTAAGGGACTTGAGCAAAGCTTCTAAATTACAGCTTCTAAGCCTTGTTAGAAGAGACTGGCTGTGCTACACAGACAGAACATGCCCTCAGGTCTGTGCCAAGGAAGGGGAGGGACAGCAAAATAGTCCCTTCCTGGCACATAAAGACTTTCATTATTTGGGGTCAACAAGAGAGCTCCAGGGGCTAAGGGCATGCACTGCAAACTGCAAACTGCCTTTGACCCTTTACCCTTGGCATGCAAGGTCCTTTCAGCACCACTAGGTGTGACTCAGTTTTTAAAGTTTCTGCTTTTTTTTTTTTTCTGATTTGCATCTTACTCTCAAGAACTTACTTTTAAGTCAGTAAGAATTCCACATCTTAGAAGCTGGCTTCGTGGGGCTGGAGCGATAGCACAGCTGGTAGGGCGTTTGCCTTGCACGCAGTCGACCCAGCATCCCATGTGGTCCCCTGAGCTACTGCCAGGAGTAATTCCTGAGTGCAGAGCCAGGAGTAACCCCTGTGCATCACCAGGTGTGGCCCAAATAGCCAAAAAAAAAAAAAAAAAAAGTAAATTAAATTAAATTTAAAAAAAAAAGAAGCTGGCCTCGCATGGGGGAAAAGGCAGCTCAGAGGCAGTTCAGATAGAGAAGGGACCACCAAGTAAAGGGTGCTAGGAGGGCCTGCTCAGAATGGGAGATGCGGACTGAAAGTAGACTATAGACCAAACACGATGGCCATTTAATGCCTCTACTGAAAACTACAACACCGAAAAAGAGAGAGAGAGCAAAAGACCCTGCCACAGAAACGGGGTGGGGTGAAGGGGACGGGGTGGGGGTGGTGGGAGGGATACTGGGACCATTGGTGGTGGAGAATGGGCACTGGTGGAGGGATGGGTACTCGATCATTGTATGACTGAAACGCAAGCACGGAAGTTTGTAAGTCTGTAACTGTACCTTATGATGATTCACTAATAAAAAATTTTAAAAAATGAATTCTCCAGATTGCTATAGACTGGCTTGTTTAGGAAGTTCCCTCCCAAAATTTTTTATTAATATTATTAGATATTCTGTGTGGAAAAAAAAGGGGGAAGTTACCCCCAAACTCCAAACAAGTGGTTCCTTTGCCGGGGAGGGAGTGATGAGTGGGAGCAGTCCTCTGTAGCTCTCCTGGGGAGAGTCCAGTTCTGCAGTCAAGGGGCCTAGACTTGCATCAGATTCTCATTTAAACTGCACCTCCAAGCGGCTTACAGTCTGCTGTATATTGCTCCAGGACCTACAAGGATCTGGGAACTGGAAGTGCATCTCATCTCTAAGCAGAGCAGGTTCACAAGCTGACTGCTTGGACCTGGAGTACATTTGTACCCCCTATCTGCTGGGCTCAAGGTCACGGGGAAGCTAGAAACCAGGCATAGAACCAGTCGCCTCCTCAGCTTTCCTCTCCAGGTGTTTCTCACACCTGGCAGTGCTTCAGGGCTTACTCAAGGCACTGCTCAGGGGTCTATATGTGCATTGGAGATAGAAGCTGGGTCAGCAAGGCAAACACCTAAACCCACGCACCTTCTCTCCCTCTCCTTATGTTTTTTTTTCTTATATATACAAAACTTTGATAGTTTACCTTATAAGTTAGGCATAGTAAGAGATTAAAAAAACTAATAATTTTACAGACAAGGGCCAGGATTGCTCCGTGGTTGGAAGCCTGCCTTATGAGCTAGGGGAGAAGGCAGTTGGGAACAGAGAAGGGATCACTAAGTCGATGATGGCTGGAGGGATGGCTCAGGATAAGAGATGTGTGTTGAAAGTAGACAAAGGACCACACATGGTGCCCTCTCCGTATCTTTATTGCAAACCATAATGCACAAAAGTAGAGAGAAAGAAGAAAATTGTCTGCCATAGAGGCAGGGGGTGGGGTAGGATGGGAGGGAGGGATACTGGAAACATTGGTGGTGGAAGATATATACTGGTGGAGGCATAGATATTCGATCATTTAAAGACTGAAACTCAATCATGAAAGCTTTGTAACTGTATCTCTCAATAATTCAATTAAAAAACTAATAATAAAAATAGAAGTATAACAACATACAGTATCAAGACTTATAGGAATGCCATGATTAAAGCGAAGGGTGCAGAGCAGTGTAAACTGTCAAAATCCTGTAGGGTTTTTTCAAAATTTTACTGTAGGTACTATATCCAGAGCAGTGTGGACCACGGAGAGCTAAGACCTTGGAAAGCAACACCTCAGAGAAGGGATCTCTTCTTTACAGACTCTTCTCAAGGGGCTCTGAAAAGCTAACAGGTTTAAGCAACAAGCTAATTTTTTGATGAGGCTCACAAAGATATGAGTTCTTTTCTCGCCTCTAAAAAGACAGCCGGGACTGTAACAGCTCGTTGGCAGAGCAATAACCCCAGTCAGTGTGTGAGGCCCTAGATCTATCCCTCCCTCCCCCACAACCACCACAGTGAACAAAGGGTAGCAGGAAATTTAAGGTACTTGTCTTGCTCCAGAGACCCTTGTTCGAATCCCAGGCACTGCCAACGGACCCAACTACCACCAGGGATCACTCCTGAGCACCGAGCTGGGAAATGCCTGTGGGCACCCCAGATATAGCCCCAAGACAAAAATATATATATTTTTTTAATTAAAATCAAAATAAAGCACACTAGACAATCCCACGACCTTTTGAAGCATCTCTTGGGGTTGCAAGGGGAAACTTGGAATCTGTGTGAGAATGTACAGCAGAGAATGCAAGGTGCCAGACGTGCACTGGGGCCTATGTACACACCTACCACACACACACCCACCTACCACACACACACCAGGAGATGCACGCTGGAGCTGCATCCCCTGCCGCGCCCCCCCCCCCACCCCGCTCCCCGCGGGGGCAAACGTTCTTAACCCATTTGACAGTATGATAGCTCCACTCTGGTTGCAAATAATACGCCCCTCCACCTCTACCACCGTGTGGACCCGCAAAAGTGCTCAACCCATTTGACAACATGCAAGCTCCAGTTGCAAATAATCCGCCCGTCCACCCCCCCCCCCCCCCCGTCTCCGCCTGGACCCTCACCACTCAAGTGTGGGTGACTTGGCGCCCGAATGCAAAGTCCGGGGGAGACGGTGAACATTTCACGGGGCCGAATGCAGCTAGAACCGGTGTCAGCGCGCGCGGGGCAGGCGCAAGTTGCACTCCTTTGCAGACCTCAGGGCATTGGGCAGGCGGGTGGGCGGCAGTGGGTCTAAACCACGTTACCGGGCCCGGGACCGCGGGGACCGCATACGGACCAACAGGGACCTCCTTCTTCACATCACAGGTCCCTCGTATCTACCCCCACCCCCACCACTTTCTGCAAACTCTTTGAGTTCACTGACGCAAAGGGGGCGACAAAAACAAAAAGAAGTTTCCTACTTTCCCTCCACCAAGCTCTCTTTATTTATTTATTTATTTTAAGGAGGAAACTGAGGCAGAGCGATGGGAAGAAGTGTCGCAGGGCAGCCCTCACTCCTTCCTCCCTGGCTCTGATTTCCCAGGAGGCCGCAAACAAGGGTGCAAGGAGCTTGGTGCGGGTCTCTGCCCCCAAGCAGCACACACACAGAGATCTGGGGGGGTCCCCAGGGTGCAGCACCCCCCGACCTAGCCCCGTACACGGGCTCAGAAGCCCCGGGAAAGAAGCGGTCGAGAATTAGAGGGGTGGCCAGGGGACCCCTCCAGGGACCCGGAGAAGCGGCTCCGTACCTTGCTTCCGCGCACCGGACGTCCGCGCCGTAAGGAGACGATGGGGTGTTGGTTGGGGGGAGGGCGAGGGGCTGCGAGGGGGACCGACTCCCGCTGACTCCGGCGGGCCCTGGGCCTGGGCGCTGCACGCGCCGCGCCTGCAGCCGCCTGCACGCCCCGAGCTCCCGCGGGTTACCTGTGGCCGAGCCCGCCCCGCCCGCACCTTCTACACTGGGCACGCAGCGGCGCACAGCGGCAGGCCCGGGTACTGCAGGGCCGCTGGGACCGTTCCCAGGTGGGCCGCCCGGGGCCGTGGCGACCACCTAGTCCTCCATCCCGTCTCAAAAGAACTGGAGGAAGGGGGCTGCCGTGGAAGTGGGGCTTTCCCAGGAGTGGGTTCGACTCCAGGCATTGTGACCCCCAGCTCAAAGCTAGGAGTAGCCCTTGAGCAGTGCAGGGTGTGGTTCCAATTTTTTTTTTTTAATTAATGTTATTGGGGATGGAGTGATAGCACAGAGGGTAGGGTGTTTGCCTTGCACCTGGCCGACCCAGGTTCAATTCCCAGCATCTCACATGGTCCCCGGAGCACCGCCAGGAGTAATTCCTGAGTAAGAATGACCAAGAGTAAGCCCTGTGCATAGCCGGGTGTGATCCAAAAAGAAAAAAAAATTAACGTTATTGTACTAAGGTATGAATGAGTGAGACAGAGAAATATGGGAGGTATTCTCCCAGGAACTTTACCGGAGGAGAGGAGAAACCATCACTCTCTAGTTCATTTACCTAGGGTCCACCTCTGAGGACACTGAGCAAGGACGGTGACGAATGTGCCAGATATTCCGTGGAAAGCTAGGGGACTAGATAGGAAAGGAAGCCTTTATCCCAAGAGCTGGTCGCTAAGCTCATCATAACCACCCCACCAGCAAAAGCACTGAGCATTTCCTGATGAAAAGCACTGAGCATTTCCTGATGACAGACAAAACAGACTTTACAGACCATTGACTCCCGCTTTCCTTGTTGGGCTATTGGGGGGGGGGGGGGTAACCCAGCAATGCTCAGGGGTTACTCCTGGCTCTGCACTCAGGAATTACTCCTGGTGGTGCTTGGCGGATCATATGGGATGTCAGGGGTTGAACCCGGAACAGCTGCGTGCAAAGCAAACGTCCTACTGGCTGTACTATCGCTCCAGTCCCTGAGCTATTTCTTTAGGACCTGCAAGAGTTTCCCTCCACCTCGAGAGTTCTCAATAACTTATTACTGACTTAGGGCTGGAGAGAGAGAGGGAGAGTTCAAAGGGCTGAGCAGATGCTTTGCACTCAGAAAATAGGAATTCGACTCAAGGCACCGTGTTCCCCCAACACGAAGCTGGGGTGTAGCCCTGGAGCAGTTCAGGGTGTGCCCCCAAATTAAAAAAAATAATGTTATTGTACTAAAGTATGAATGAGTGAGACCAAGAAACAAGGCAGGTGTTCTCCAAGAACAAGGCTTAGAACCCTAGAAATGGAGTTTCAGTTTTAATTGAGGGGTGGAACCAGCAAGTTTTATTCAAATCTTTTCTGAGTTTTGGCGGGCAGAACAAAAACGCAGCAGGCGGGGCACTTGTCTTGTATGTGGCAGATCTGGGTTCTGTTCCCTGAACCACATAAGCACCCTCTGACCCCATCCCACCAGGAGTGATCCCCGAGCACAGAGCCAGGAATAAGCCCTGAGCACAAAGTCAGGAGCAAACCTTGAGCACAGAGTCAAGAGTAAATCTTTAGTACTGCTGGATGTGCAAAAGCAATATTTTTACTTATTTATTCTACTTTTATCCACTCCCCACTTTATTTAAATGCTGTGCTTTACAAACTTGTTCATGATGAGTTGTTACAGGCATTCAGTATTCCAACACCAAGCCCACCACCACTGTCACCTTCCCTCCACCATTGTCTCCAAGTTCCCAACCACCCCTCAAGCCTGCCCCCATAGCAGGTCCACAATAATTTATTTTATATTGTTTGTTACCACTAACTGTCTGGTGGAATGATTTTTAAAAAAAGACTTCAGTAAAAGAAAATTTGTGAAAATTGTTGTATCTCACCATGGGGACATTAGGTGCTTGTCTGAGGGTTTACTAAGCTGATGTTGCCACCTAAGCCTTCTGTGTTAATTTTTTTGTTAGTGGAGCTTAGTTGGCTTCTAGGTTCCATTCCCATCCAATCTGGTATGCTCCTCCTGGGAAGTTAGTATTGTAGAGTTTGGAGATGTAGCTCCAGAAAACCCAGAATACTTGGATTTTCCAGGTATCCTCCAGAATCCAGCTGGAAACCTGCTTTTTGGGCATGAGTGTGGCTGCCAGGGCTTTGATAGAACAGAAACGTGGGCTGCCCTCCCCCTGAGATGGCCCCAGAGGTCTCTGCCAGGATGAGTATTCAAGAAATTTTTGCAGGTAGTTGATCTCTTTTGAGATTTATTTTTGACTCTTTGGAGCAGGGCTGGTAGATGAGCTTTCATGACTGCGACAGTGGGATGTGGGTGTGGCTAGGGCTTTTGGAAGTAAGAAAAGCAGTGAGGAGTGCAAAAAAACATTTTTTTCTTTCTTTCTTTCTTTCTTTCTTTCTTTCTTTTTTTGCTTTTTGGGTCACACTGGTGATGCTCAGGGGTTACTCCTGGCTCTGCACTCAGGAATCACTCCCGGCAGTGCTCAAGGGACCATATGGGATGCTGGGAATCGAACCCGGGTCAGCCACGTGCAAGGCAAACGCCCAGCCTGCTGTGCTATCTATCGCTCCAGCCCCAGGAAGCAAAAACATTTTTACAAAATAAACTTAAAAAAAAAAGTTTTGGTCACCCTCTGCCATGCTCAATGTCTACTTTGCTCTGTGCTCAGGGATCACTACTGGCATGCTCAAGGGATCATATGCAGTGCCAGAGATCAAGCCAGAGTTTGCCACATGCAAGGTAAGCATCTTCTCTGTGTTATCTCTTGGGTCTGGAACCAGCTGATGTTAAAGCTGAGTTTTCTTATCATGTTGGAAATAGGCCTGGTTTCCATGGGCGAGGAATCATGATGATCTTTATCTTAGGATTTTTGTTTTTGCTGCTCCTCTCCGCTGAAGAAACTTTATTATTTAGTGGGTGCTGGTTGCGGGGTGGGGTGGAGGGAATGGGTGGTGGGGAGGTTGGTCCACATACAGCGATGATGCTCAGGGGTTACTCCTGGCTCTACACTCAAGAATTCTCCTGGTGGGGCTGGAGTGATAGTACAGTGGGAAGGGCATTTGCCTTGTATGCGGTCAACCCCGGGTTCGATTCCCAGCATCCCATATGGTCCCCTGAGCACCACCAGGAGTAATTTCTGAGTGAAGAGCCAAGAGTAACACCTGTGCATCACTGGGTGTGACCCAAAAAGAAAAAAAAAAAAAGAATCCTCCTGGTGGTGCTCAGAGGACCATACAGGATGATGATGATGGAACTTTCCCCGAGTCAGCTGTATACAAGATAGGTGCTATTACTCCTGCCCAACTTTAGACAGGAGAAAGGCATATTGTCCCTGCCCACACTAGAAAATGGAATCACTGTCCTGTATCACTGTCCTCCCAATGTTCATCGATTTGCTCGAGCGGGCCCAGTAACGTCTCCATCGGAGACTTTGTTGTTACTGTGTCTGGCATATCGAATACGTCACGGGGAGCTTGCCAGGCTCTGCCGTGCGGGCGAGATACTCTCGGTAGCTTGCCGGGCTCTCTGAGAGGGGCAGAGGAATCGAACTCGGGTCGGCCACGTTGGCTGCTTGCAAGGCAAACGCCCTACCCGCTGTGCTATCGCTCCAGCCCAGAAAAAGGAAAGAGCTTGGAATTCACATATGATTACAAAAAGTCCCCATCTTATTATATAGCTAGAATTTTATTTAGCAGTTTGAAGTCTCTTCTCTGCATACACCTTGCCTTCACCAAATTCTGTTCCTCGAGTCTGTCATTCCCCACTTAGAGCTGTTAGAACACATTTTATTTCAGTGTCCTGCCATTAGTAGCTCTGGATATTTTTGCTGGCAGGTCATTCCTGATTTTCCTCCCCCTTTAAATCAAGAGATGTAACACACAATCTCTCCTTTAGGGAACAGGTTTGGACCAAACCTGCTAGTGCTCAGTGCTACTCTTGTCTCTGGGCTCAGGGGACCATATTCGGTGGTGGGAAAACTCTTGTTCTGTCTCTCCTCCCCTTTCAAGCTAACCCATTCTTTCTTAGACTTTTACAGAGGAGTTTCCGTCTGAAGCTCATAGAATAAAGAACCAGAGTCGGCCACTCCCCTAAGGCGGCTTTTATAACACCACCACCCAGTTGCAATGAAGTGGCTGTTTTAAGTTTCATTTGTGGGCCGTCAGAGTTCTCACACATCAATTCCGCTGAAAGGAACAGAAAGCCCGGGCCAGACTGTAAAGCTAGACAAGAGCTCCCGGGAGCTGACAGGCCTGCGGTGGCTCCCAGACTTTGATTAATGAGCGAGCCTGGTGTAGGGACTCACGGAGCAGGCGGGAGGGAAGCCCCTTGGGGATCTTTGCTCGCTCATCTCCAAGTGAACACACACTTTTGGGGCGAGTCCTGGAAAGTGATGCCTACGCTTCCCTCTGTAGGAGCTGCCGGTTTCAGTCCAGTCACAGCCCCCTGGGACGTCCTCACTCCCTCAGGAAAGGGAACTGAGTGCTGAAAGGAGGTAGAGGGACAAGCATACCCTTTCGGTACCTGTATTGCAAACCATAATACCCAAAAGGAAAAGAGAGAGAGAGAGAGAGAGAGAGAGAGAGAGAGAGAGAGAGGAGAAATGGGGGAGGAGGAGGGAGAGAGAAGGGAGAGAGAAGGAGGGAGAGAGATGGGAGAGTGAGAAGGAGGGAGAGGGGGGGAGAGAGAAAAAAAGAGAGGGGAGAAAGATGGGGGAAAGAGAGAGAGAGAAAGAGGGGGAAGGGAGATGGGGAGAGAGATGGGGGAGAAAGAGAGAGGAAGAGAGAGAGAAAGAGTTGTCTACCATAGAGGCAGGGCTGGGCATGTAAGTGGCAGGAAGGAACCTGGCGGGGACATTGGTGATGGGAAATGTGCACTGGTGGAAGGACGGGTGTTGGAACATTGTACAACTGAAACCCAATCAGGAACAATTGTGTAACTGTGTATTTCACAGTGATTCGATTAAAAAAATTAAACTAAATTTTAACT